GTGTTTTCGCCTAGCCTCCTCGTGGTCCATGATGCCAGCTGAGGTTGTCAGTACTATGTACCTATTGAGGAAGAACACATGTTCAGTTCATTGTCAGTTTTCTTCCGTGTTCATGCAGAGCCGATGGCACTTAATTTTTGTACTACAACAGAAAGATGTTTCTTTCAGAAAGGACATAACACAGACAGCATGCTATCAGAGAATGAAAAAGAAACTCCTCCCAATTGTGAAGCACACAAAGTACATTTACAGGCTTTCCCCTCAGTTCTCCCCTCAGTTCCATCATACATTGCTTATGTAAAGTCAGTTCTGCTGTTGTAGTGGTAGGAAGTCTACAGTCTATAGACAAAGACTGCTTCTATTTCAAGGAGAGATCTTTCCTCAGAGCAGATCAGAGTTGCTATGGTGCCAGCTCTGAAGGCTTTGTCACTCAGTGCTTGGAACACTGCTCATGCTTCCAAACAAGTACCTGAACCTGGACTGACAACTGAAGCAGCTTTAGTGACTTCTTATGCCAGCATTTGGATTATCAGCCTAGTTCACACAGCTTCGTGTCTGAAAACCTCTTGTCCCACTGCTCTATAAATACTCTTGAAAAATCTCCGTATGACAATACATACTAGCAAGGTAGATAGGTACAGCTTGACTACACAGCTTATCACTGCAGCTTTAAGAAAGGAAATGACAAGGAACTGTTAATCCTGCCTCCAACAGGCAGACTTGCTGAGCCACTGCAATTTATTATTATCAATTTAGAGAATTTGGGGAAAGAAAAATGTATTGTAACATTTTCTATGTTTTGGATATTCAGAACTGAAGAGGCCGAGTCTTACGTTAATTCGTATTTAATCAACTTAATCACAATCACAAAAGTGCAACCTAATCCCATTCATCTCATACTACTTCATCTACAAATGGCCATTCATAAAAGTAAAATAATGAACAAAAATCCTCCAGACTAAGGAAATGGTGAAACAACAAAAAAGGTTCTTGCTTAGTAGCACTCCTTCAGAACTGGTTAAAAAACATTTATATGGAAGCTGAATTTTTACTCTTATCTGCCTTCAGACTAATGAGAGATGAAAGGCATCACGTGAATCTAATTCAGGCAGTATGAAAGTGTAGTTAAAAAAAAGAAATCAGCCTATGTATGACAGATTTAACTCCTCTCCATACTTACCCAAACTGACGTGAAGGCAGCAGGTTGTTTTGCCATTTTTCCAAATCCTTCAGTTGCACATCAAATCTGGGACTGATTACGCCACACTATAAAACAGAATTCCATTACAAACCAGAGAACTGTATAAACTGGATCTGTACATTTGTCATTCCAGCCCTCTGAAAAAATTCAACTGCAATTAAAATGTATTCAGCAGCAAAAGACTAGAGAGTATCGAGCAGAATGTGCCACATTCCATAGTACCGAATGGCTTTCTCTCACAGAAGCCAAGGCTCTCACACAGTAATTCAGCTTTTATTTCTTTATCCTTGTCTCTTCCTCCTTGCCTAAGTGGAGAGAGATATACTGCTGTTGAGGCTACACTAATAATTTAATTGGTACAGCTGGGAGAGCAGAAAAGTAAGCTATAAACTACTAAAGGTTAAGGAGTATCCTACATCATCCAAAACCTGACGTTAGAAGTAAACTGTCCTTGAGTAATCATTATAAAGAGTTAGCAAAAACACCTGTGATGTTAAACAACGAGAAATCAACACGCACAGAAGTTACCAGCACTTTCAAGTTAACCCTATTACTTATCAACCATAATCACTACCACCACCTCTAGTGACCTCACCGGCTCCAACCACCCTGACATCCAAGAGCACAGCAGAGGACACCTGACTGCACTGACATCTTCCTGAACCAAGTAGCTTCCTTCCTTATTACAGCCACTGGGAGAAACATCACATCCAGTTAACTCTGCAACATCTGATACAAAATCATCCAGAAAGACCTCAAGAAACACCATACTCAAATATGACCTCTATTACTCTTATTACAGACATACACCACTAGAAATTTGGGTTGTGTCAGAATTCCCTGCTACTACACTCAAACAATTCTCAGCTGCAACAATTGCTCATCACAGAGATAGCCCCCAACATCTTTAGGCCAATTAATATCTACATCTCTTTACTTGAAAACCACCTCTCATTTGAATGGCTTCATTGGAAACAATGACCATCCATGTTCAAGAAACATTTGGATGTTGTACTGAAGGACGTGGCTTAGTGGGAAATACTGGTGACAATGGATGGTTGGACTGGATGATTTTGGAGGCCTTTTCCAACCTTGGTGATTCTATTACTCTGTGCATAGCAATCCATCACAGAAGTAGACAGCTCAATGTTTTAAGTCAAACGCATTTAAAAATTGCCCAAACTCAGCAATGATTCAATACACCCCAGGAACCCAAAAAGCACTGATTATCACAACATTTTACTCTGTCTCAACCACAAGCAAAGCCAACCTTAGCAGCAGTAGAAATGCTCATTTCCTCACTATTTAGAGGTATTAAACATTAACTGGAAAGCAAAGTCACTCTCTTAGGACAAAACTATTCTAGATAACAGAGAAATCACTGGGGAGGCAGAAAGCCCCTAATGAGAAATACACTTGAAAAGTGACTTCCAAAAATCTAGCTTATGTATTGCACATTTAATGGTAATTAAGTCAATCACACTGTTACAAATTTAGGAAACATAACATACAATAACTACTGATAATAGGCAAATTACTCTCACTTACACAGACTAAATCCCAAGTTCTCACAAGTAATTATTTCAGAATTAGAGCAGACAAAAAGGCCTCATTTACACAGCTTTCTAGAGAACTGAATTCAGGAAAACAAATCCTACCTTGTTGAGTCTGCCTGTGAGATTGACAACAATCTTCCCAGCTCTGTGATCATCAATTATCTCAAATTCACCAATGTAACCTAGGAAAGATTAGAAAACAGACAAATCAAAACATGATACGCAGCTACAATACAGTTCACTTAACCAAGCTATCCAAAACAACTGCAAGCATCTTGATTTACTTAAGTCAAAAACCACCTGAAGAAAACATCACCCACAGGATTTCAGAAGTTTTCAGCAATTAAGACTAACTTCAGTGTACCAACTGGTATGATTCCACTATACTGAAGTACAGTTGTATTTAGCTACATTCTGTAAAGCTGGAACACATCTTAAACACTGAAGAATTACTGCTGTGAGGTTTTTTCTGGTTGGCTTTTGTTTCCAGAACTTGTTTCAGACCAGCAGAATGTTTTGGGTAGCTCCAATATTCAGAATGCACATAGAATACTACAATCAAAAACCATACTCCGCTTCAGCCCTCCTCTCAGCAATTAACAGCACACTCATCTAAAAACATGACCCCACACATAACATCGATTCAGTAAGATGCTCCAACTTTACCCACAGATCTCCTTCACTAAAGTCAACTACACAGAAATTGTGAATGAAAGAAATATCAGTGCTGTGGTCCACACTCACCATGCTTCATCATCACAGTTAAAAACCGGACGATTACTTTGGAGCATGGCCTAATGAGAACCTGGCGTTTCCCACGTTTCTCTGCGTTGTTGATGCTTTTGAGAGCATCGGCCAGAACATTCATGCGCACCATGGTGCCTGTGGGGAGGAGAGAGGCAGTAATACACATGCATCCATCACAGCCACACAGAGAGGCACTTCTGAAGCATGTTTTAGAGCTTAAGGACCAAGAAGTAGCAACAAGTTGCACTCAGCCTCAGCAAGTCACAACACATGCTCAGGTTTGCTCAAGAGAATTAAAATACTGTCAAACTTCGGAAATCACACACATCAGGCCTTCAACTTGGATTTTATTCACACACACACACACACAAGAGATTTTTAAAAAGCAGCATGTAATAAGCAATATGCCATCCACATGACACCCTTCCCAGGGGAATGGTTTAGATTTTAAAGTTCAGTATTAACCCCACAAAAAAGCATGTCACACATGGTATTAAATAATCTAGATACCGCTTAGCTTCTCTACCTGCAAAAAGATAATAAAAAATGCCATTACGGGATGAAAGTAACACATCACTCTTAAAGGGAGACCGTGCATCACCTCCTGCATCGCAGGGCTAAAGGCCACGAGCATTCCGCGCACCACAAGGCAGGCCGTGCCCGGACCCCGCCGTTCCGCGTGCTGCCGGAGCCAGGCGGGCGCTGCTGCTGGCGGGGCCCGGAGCAGCCACCGCGGAGCGGCCCAGATCCTAGCGCACACGCCGGTTTCCGCCTCTAAGCCGGGAGCTCCCCGCCGCCCCGCCGTCCGGCCCCGCACCCTTACAACCGGCCCGGGCCCGCCGCCGCCCTCAGTCCCCCTCCCTCCATCTCTCTGGGCTGGCAGGCGGTGCTCCCCCCCACCCGCCGCTTCGGAGGTTCTACAGAGCGCCAGGGACGACGCCGATGGCTCAAATCAGGCCGGACCGCTCGGCCGCGGTCTCGTGCACCCGGCGAGGGGAGCGGAGGCGGCGGAGGAGCGAGGATGGGGCGGAGGCACGGCGGATGGCGACCGGGCAGAGGCGGCGACCCTACTCACCGGTGCGGCAAGATGGCGGAAAAGGAAGAGGCCGGGCGCCCGCGCGGGATTATGGGAAAGCCATGAGCGCGGAGTGGCGCGCGCCGCCCGGCACGATCTCGCGAGACTCGACATCCTATCCGGAAGGCGCCGCGCGCCGAGGTCGGCCATCCCCATTGGTGAGAACGCCGCCACGCGCGCTCCTATAGCAACGCGGACGCTGCGCCGCGGTTCGCCGGGCTGCCCGCAGCCTCTGAAAGCCGCGATAACCGGCTGCGGGCGGCACCACGGCCCGGCACGGCTGCCAAGATTGCTGCTTACAGCGAGGGATGACAAACGCACGCTGTGCGGGTACAGCCGCGCGACAAACGCTATTTCCAGATCCATTTCTCCAGATCCACATCCATCACTTTCCAAACAGTCACAAAGAACGAGACTGAGAGAAGTTTCTCATGAGTCTGTATTTACCTATTCAACAATTACAATACACTGAGGAGACTTCATCTTAAAACAGTAAACTTTTAAAATGCATTAACACAGGTTTTAGCTTTTCAAAGAAAAAAAAGCTTTTTTTTTTTTAAAAAAAAAAAAAGAGGGGAGGAGATAGAAAAGCACAACACTCAGCCTTATTTACAACGGACAGACCGAGCGTATCCAGAGTGATTTTGTACACAGACAACATTCATAAAACCAAACGTGCTACATGGCTCCATAACAGCAGTTTTTAGAACAATCAGCTGTAAGGTCACACACACACCTTAACTCGCTCTCTACAGTCTCAGTGCAACAAACTGAAGTTTGTACTACAGCTAAATAACTCTACCAGAAATCTATGTACTCCAGATCCCAGTTCAGCAGGCAGTCTGGCATATGCTGCCACAGAAAGCAAACATTCAGTGAGACAACAGGACCACCTCCTGCCCTCATGAGGGCAGGCACGCTCAAATACCATCACTTACTCAGTTTGTCTTCTTTCCACAAGACTCAGTAGTAACAAGCTGCTCAGAAGTGCAAGATTTCAGAACGCCTTCGTACTTGCTGTAACCACAAACCATTAACTGGTGAAGCTAACAGGTATGGAAATGCTGTGATCAATTGCAGTAAGTTTTTGAGATAGGGTAGTTATGAGGCCTCTTAAATGGGTGAAGAATTTAAGCTCCACATGTCAAAGGTTAAGATCTTTCATATGAAATCAGATACAGAACCCTACAAGAGAGACAAACCCATAGCAGATGCTAGAGTGACATTTTCAATTCATTGGAGCCAATAAAAAAGGTAAGCCAGTGAGCAATACAACTTCTATTATCTTAATTATACATTAATTCACAAAACTGTTCCCAAGAAAACCTTCTACAAGAGCAAACAGCACTTAAGTCTTCACTCATTTTTCTTCTCCTTGTGCTTGAGCAGTTTGTTTATTTCCCTTTTTGCCATTCCAACATACTTTGTAATGATCCCATGCTGGTTCAGTCCAGGAAACAGCAGCAAGAAACTTACTGCAGAAATAAACAAAAAAAAAATTATTTACTAACGTTTTAACTTCTGTCTTCTGTCACCTGGCAATTCCTTGCCTCCCTTAAGCTCCACCAACTGTCTGAACACACAAGTAAATGTCTCAGGTTAAAAACAAACACATCCCCACACAAATAATCACATCTCACTTCCACCAGCTTCATGCCATTTTAGACAGCTAACAAAGTTGGATGGTTTGCATACTACACACTCACCAATAAGATATGTCAGAAAGAGGTTGTGAACTTGCTGTCCAATCCAGGCAACCACAGCAAGAGAACAAAGCATGGTCATGAAGTACTGAAAAAAGAAAAGGGAACAGTTACCACTGACCTGATGGAAATTCTCATCCTTCCCCTCAGTATGGAGCAACATTTCAAAGTCTAAAACTACACTGAAGTCCACTGGCCTTTCCACATGCAATATCTATGCACGGGCTTGTTAGAACTGAGACTGCAGAGACTACGTCTGTACATTCTCAATTATTTAAGCACCATTACTTTTATTACAGTATGGCAGCTGTAAATAGCCCTCACACTGTGCAATCCCCATATCCATACAGCTTGTGCTTCACGCAGCACCTGAAGCTTTCTGACCAGTATAACTATTAATTAACATAATTAAGCTGAAACATTAAGGTCTACCTTTTTCAGATAGGTAGTACACTGAACACAAAAATCTTAGTGTGCTTTTTACAAGCTCTGTTGCAAAAAAATGACCCAAAGAAACACAGTTTATCTTAGTATCAGGGCTATGCTCATACTGAACAACACCACAAGTTCCAGGTTGAGAATCTTGCCACTCAGGCAAGAGGTAAGTGTAAGAGGTAGTAAGAGTAAGAGGTGTGGCTCACATTAAGTCACGGGCAGAACAGTCAGTTTGCACCCTGAAATACTCTATTCAGACATGTTCTCTGCTAAAATGCTTAAGATTGAACAAAGCAAAGAGATATTTTACAATGACAGAGAGAAGAATCCCTGGAACTCAATACCATTTTAGGCTTCTCTTCCTTCAGCGCGAAAAGACGTTTCCACCACCCAACAATTCGGCGACGAGATTTGACCAAATTGCTGCAAATCTCATGGAATCTTTGCTGCTGCTCTGTAGTCCTTTAAATAAAGAGAAGCAGGAATAAGAATTCATGTTCTCATCTGAAACTTAAGAACTCTCCTATACTATTTTCCAGCAGAAAAAAAAGTACCTATCTCAACACTTGCTACACTCAGTTTTGTGCCTTTTTTCTACTTAGCATTGTAATGCAATGCCTATGAAATGAAGTACACAATCTCTCAAACGGGCTCCAAAACTGCAACTCCTATTCTAGCCAGAAGAGCACTGAATTTCATCTTGATCTGCTGTGAGCAATTGCTTGGGTTCTTCTGTCGGCACAGTGATAGACAAGAACTAGGTAGTTCAGAGCAGATACACAACAATTTATTTTTAATTCAAAATTCAGTTCAAAATAATAAGGTTCTCCTTCAGCTTACTGTTTTTATATAAGCCTTGTCCTTCTCTGAATACATTTCAATCACTTATGATCACATTCGTACTCCTAAGATTCCTGTACATCACTCTACTTACATCACATTTACAAGTGCTATTCTAAACAAAGAACACAGTTCCTTTCATACTTTGGTTGTTAGCACTGTTAAGTAGTTAAGTAACCAGTTTGCAGAATGAAATCCTTAATAGAACAAAGCATGCCCCTACTCCTTCAAAAATAAAATCTTACTTTGTTAGAAGAGAAGGAACAATAAAGATTATGTTGTAGTAGTTTTATTTCAGAAAAAGAAAAATGCAGGGCATTTTACAAGTGTCCACAATTCATAAACCACAGAGATTGACAATGACAGTGACCATACAGGAATCATTTAACACTTGCAATTCAGATATTCACTTGGATAGAAATCAGTTTCTTTACACTCGGGCTATTTTAATGTAAGGCCTTCCTCACTCACCATTTGTTGGAGCCAAAGATTCTGGGTGCAAGAGCAGGAACAAGATAATCAGCCAAACAGATGAACATTACAAAGCAGGAGACACCTGAGAGAACGGATGGATCCAAGTAGTAGATCATCCTGTAAAAACAACATTGAGATGAGCTATGGACACTCTGACTGCTAAATACGGCTGTCCAACACTCACTGCTTGCACCTACATCTATGTGGTAACTACGAGCCATGCAGACTATTACAGTGTTACGCAGCCATGAACAGAAGCCTCAGCAAGCCCAAGTCTCCTGACTGTATCTGTAGTGAAGAGAAAGGCAACAACCTCCCACCCTGCTGACTTACTCTGAAGCTATTCTCAGCCTTCAGCTCCCTTCTCCTCTTTCTCTAAGTTGTGTAAAACCAACCAAACTTGTCCCTAAAAACCACACCAAAGACAAAGAATATCTAGTAAGGAAAGCCTGCCCTACGGAACCTTGCTTTCCTTTTGGATCACAATGTGTGAGCTTCAGCAATAAGCCACAGAAGATGGCCAGATTTGATTAAGAAGCAGGATAGAAAGGATGAGGGCAGAACATGAACACACCAACGAAGGGCACAGAGTCGAACCCAGTGAAATCCTACAGCAACCAGGCCTGACAAACATCTGCAGAAAGCACTGCCCCCTCTGGCAGGATCTGAGCCGTGCTGTTACTTCCTGTGCCCAGTACTTCCAGGTTCTCCTTTTCAAAGTTTACATACGTTCAGAAACAGAACCTGAAGAGCCTTCTTAATAAAGAGGCCTCTTAAAGCCATCTTAATAGTCCCAGTGTGTTTAATAGCTTTGCTACCAGCCAGGAGAGCACAGAGCTACTTACAGGAAAGAAAATGAAACAACACTCATCAGCGCCGGAGGAAACCAGGCTCTCTCCCAGCGAAGAACCTTATCAGTCATCAAGATCACTTCTCCCCATCCTTGCAACTGCTCTTCCAAGCTAGCTGTTTCTGCAGCCTGCACAAAAAAAAGGGAAGAAGGCATGATTTCTAACCAGAGGATCAGATCAGTTCCCACACAACAGCAGCTAAAAGAAGAGTCGCAAGATCTCAGTCATAAATGAGAGTAATTATTAACGACAAATTTTCACTGCTATAACACTGTAGAAGAGGTACTTTAAAACAGTCCAGAACCTAATGAAGCAGTAGCACATCTCACCAGACCAAACAAATCTCCCTGCACACTTTACTGAGGTGTTTTGCCCCAGTCTCCCCTTTATGGTGCTCCCTTCCCCAGTTCAGCAGAAAGGCAAGTCTTTCAAAGGACAAGCCCTTTAAAGTTGCAGTTTTCCAGGCACGTGAGAGGTATTTTAAATATAGGTATTTCCAAAGATAACTTTAACACATTAGAGTTCTCTAGTTGCTGCCCAACACCCATTTTTGTTACATGGAAAACAGACAAAAAGACACAGAACTGTAACATGGAAGTTACCAAACTGATCACACTGGAACACAAAGAAAAAGTTTTCCCATGAGTTGCCCAAAACAGAGCAGGCAGCCCTTACACTCCTACTGCATCATTCCTCCATCCCTCCCCACACACCCTTTGTGAGGAGGTCCCATCTGCTCTGACAACAGCTCCCTAAGCAGTTCACCTCAGGTGTTCTGCATTTAGCAGAGCTTAACAGCGAGCCCTAGGAAAATAGAGGGATCTCAGGTTAAAGCACTCTTGTAACCATGGATGGAACTGACATTCCCACAGTCACGGGTTAAAAGTCACCCAGCCCTGCACGTGTGCTGCACAAAGACAGAGTGGGTTTAGAATAAGGACAGCTGAGTGCAGCTGCCATTGCAAAGCAGAGCTTACCTGGGATCCTATCAGAAATTATTGGAAAAGCTACAGTTAAACACCGAGCAAAATGGAAGGCTATCTGACAGTCTGCTGAATGCCTTCCAGCTTGTTACATACATTTTATGTCATAAACACAAGTCCTCACATTAAAAAAAAAAGAGAAAGCAGGTTCTCCACAGGATATTTTATAGCCAACTGTTCTGCTTTATTACTTCTGTCTGCATTTATCATTATGAGCAGGAGAAAGCGCAATGGGGAGCACGCAAGAATATAACAGCATTATTACCCACAGTCAGAACCAAGTGTCCGCAGCTGCTTTCCACTGGGACTGTGCTTCCACAGGCACAGACGGCAGCTGAAGGGCAGCTTCTGCCAGCACCCGTCCTTCCTTCACTCCAGATCCCGCCCGCGCTGTGCTATCATCGCTCGTTTTTCCCCCCTCTGAACAAACCGAGTTTCCATAAGCGCCGTTGTTCTGAGCACAGCTCCCATCCCCCAGAATACCGCACGCGCCGTTGAAACGCAGCCCCAAGCGCTTCCTCCGCAGCACCCGGCCTTTCCTTCCAGCTCTCCGCGTTCCTCTCACCGCGTCCCAGACGATCAACAGCACCTCAGCGCTTCCCCTCCTCAACTCTTCCCACCTGCCTCTCGGATGTCCCGCCCCGCTCAGCGTAACGCGGCTCCCCCGGCTGACGGCACAGCCGAGAGCCGCCGCCACGCAGAGACGGCATGTTTAACGCCAGCCCCGCAGATCGCATAGAACAGACGCGGCGATGAACTCCAGAGGCCGGCGAGCAGCGGAGTCCGACGCGGGCGGCTCCCGCGGCCAGCCCCGCACAGCAGCCCGCCGCGCAGCCGGCCGGCCGCTCGCAGCGAAGGGGCGCGTACGGAGCCGATCGTCCGCGCCCAGACGGCCCGGCAGCGTGCGGCCCCAGCTCCCCGAGACCGCCGGCTCCTCCTCATCCACCCGCAGGCAGGGCCTCCGGGCACCCTGACCGACCCGAGAAGCCGCCGGCCCCGCCGCACTGACCAGCTGGTAGACGCTGTTGTTGTCACCCTCCGCCATCTTGCTCGCCCCTCGCAGCACGGCCACGCCCGCCGCCGCCGTCCCTTGTACCTTCCGCAGCCCCTTTTCGGCGTTATGATAGGCCGACTCTAAAGCGACGAGAGCCAATCGCAGAGCTCTCGCCGCGCCCCGGCTGAAGCCGATTGGCTGATGGGATTCGAATGGAGGCAGCCAGCCAATCAGCGTGGGGTGCCCCCGCCTCCTCCCTCCCCGCCGTCGCAATGCGACTGCGGCAGTAGCGGGCGTTGGGTGGGATGTTGTGAGGGCCGGGCTGGTTCTGGAGCAGCCCAGAACCGTCAGCGCTGGAGGGCGTGCTGTTATTTGAAAAAGTCTGCCCCACATAACCTGAATACTGGGATCACTAGTAGGCAGGCAAGCATGAGGCCGTGTGTGCTGGAGAGGCGCGGCCCAGCCTGCTGTAATTGCTTCCAGAAGCCATCCCAGCTCCATCACAGTTTCTAGAACATAACTGCTCCAAAAGGAGAGCGAAGGGCTGCCGCTTGGGGCTCAAACTGCAGTGCTTTGGCATCCCTTCTTCCCGGCCCACAGAGGAGCAGGGCAGACACGGCGGTGCAGCGGGATGCGCTGGGTGGCGCTTCAGGAGCACAGCACAGCTGTACTGCAGCATTTGCTGCCCTATGGGGCTCTCTTCAGGCTGGTTTAGGTTTGTATGTAAATCACACATACATTTCCAAGCAACTTTCATATTTACTTAACACGCTATTGAAAGCTAAGCATGTCTACGTCCACTGTTCTGCACTTAGCAGCGATGGAATCCACCCTCCAACCCCGTAATTGCACACAGCGAGGCTGGGACAAAAGATTTCCCGAGGAAGCGATGCCAGCAGTCATTCTGATGGAAGCCGTGTGAGGAAGTGGGCACAAATAGAACACAACGTGTTGCCTTTACCACTGCTGGCAGCGCTCACAGTGCCTGCAGCTCCTGCCCACATTCACCATTAGTGCAGTTCTCTCCATGTAAACGAGTACTTACCACTGAGAAAAGGCAGGAATGCCACCAACCTCCATTCCCACTGTCAAACGTTCACTTCAGGGCCCCTCTGCAGCTTTTCTCCCCTCACAGCAGGCCCACAGAAGTGCCATTTATCTGTTTACCACCTACCATGCATTACTTGAACTACACAAAACAGACTGTTTGCTGTGTACCTCAATGCAGTTCACACTGCAGCAGGAAAATCCAATGCCCAAGCTAACTTCAAGGCCCCCTCAAAATTCAATTCAATTGAATTCAATTCAATTCTGTGCGCCTTGAGCAGACACCAATTTTACGTTATGTCTTTTGCCCACTCATCACACCTCACCTATTCAAACCAGATACCTCCCAGGCTTCTTCCCTATGCTAATAATAAAAGGTGGATCTGGTGGATGGCAAAATTGCTCTACTCGGTGATGCATTTCAGTACAACAATAATTTCATGTGCAACAAGTCTTTTTCAATAACATTCTTTAGTAAAGTGTTACAGCCATACTCCTGAATAACTTCTCCACTAAAGACACGATATAGATTTCATGTAGCAATTGGATGCTGGTTTCTGAAAGCAGAAGACGAATGACAGCGTCATTTTAAATATTTCTGCTAGTACTGTTCCTTAATTCCTAAAAGGGAATCGCTGCAAATAACAGCAAATGATTGTTTTACTTATTTTGCATTATAGGACACTTTTGAAGCACTGAAGTTTTCTCAGACAGCATGGCCAGATGTACTTTGCACTGGATTTATGGTTATGGTGGAGTGTGTGCATTGAGCCACACTCACTCCCCATGTATGTGCCACCAATGCCTCCATAGCAGCTTCATAACAAAGACTTAGAAAATATTTTCTCACATTTTTCTTAAAATTAAAAAAAAAAAACAACCCAAAAACCCACAAACAGGGGGAGGAAGCGTTTTCCTAACTGAAATAATGAAGTTGCTGTGTCTTCCAAAACACGTCTGCAATTAATGCAGCCTCATTTAACATGGCACATGGAAGCACAGAATCTGTTTTCAGAGTAACAGAGCGGAGCTGATTTGTCTTAGTTTATATTATTTTATTCTTCCCCCCCTTTTTTCAACACCACGAGTAGTTTGGCATACAAGGAAATTATGAGTGCACGTTTCTTTTTAAAACTTTATTAAATGACGCAGTAAAGAACCCATCTCCACACAAGTGTTTCATTTCTGGATGGCAGAGGTATAATACATGAGCCACAGGTGAGTGCATTACCCCTCCCTTTCCCCCGGCTTCCAAGAAATAAAACAGCACGTTGAACACTCTTGTTACTATGGTACTCCAAACAGATTGTTCGTAAGGTTATTTGTAACTGGAGAAAAAAATAAAAAGGGCCAACAGCATCAAGTGTCTTGTTCTGCATATGAACGTTCTTCACTGCAACATTCAAACACTTTCCTTCTTGCAATGCACAGCACGGCAGGGGGTTCAGGAAGCAATGACAGTGGAATGCATTCGCACGGGTATTGTTAAATATGAAGCCTGTGGCCTCCCTACAGTTACAGTCAGGCAATCAGACTGCAGAGAAGGCCGTGTGTCTTCTGAAAATCCTTACACTTCAAAGTGCATGTCCACGAAAAGCTGGAGAAAGTGAATTAATTCTGAGACCTACTGAGGAGGCAAAGCAGCAAGCATAGTGCAAACACTGAAATTCTGCAAGTTTGTGACTCGTGCCTGGTGTTAATTCATGGTATCCGAAAATCGCTAGGCACGCTTTCCGCTTAGACAAACTGCTTCAAATCCATTCAGTTGAATGAACCTTTTTGCCACTAGTGAGCTTGGCTCAAATCCTTCAGTACTGAAACTCTGATTTAAAAAAAAAAAAAAAGATGCTGTATTTGAGGTGTATTTTTACTCTGAAAATAGACTAAAATGGCAGAGAGGATCTCCCTACATCTGTCCTTTTTCAGCAGCTGTGTGCAATGAATGCAGTTTACCAAAGAGAAACTTTTTACATGTAGCATTGCAAATGGTTGACAACACCAGTGTGCATTTCTGTTTCAACTATCAGAACCTGTAAGAGTCTGCAGCTGTACCCAAATTACTTTTATTTGCAGTAAGAAAAGGAAGTTGCCTTTTCCAAGAGGCATCCCACTTCAGAAAGGAAATGAGATGGATTTCAGACAACTGGCAGAGAAGCAGATCTGAGAAGATGCCATTTTTAGAGAGACTTTTCTGATCATAATCACACTTTCAGCGCAGAACTGATTAAAAACAAGTGAAAGATTCGCTATGGATGCGCTACTGAACAACCATCTATAAAATCAACTCGGCAAAGCAAAATTACTCTGCCAAAATCTTTACAGAGCTGGTTGAACAAAAATTGGAGTCCTTCATTTCTTGGATTACACCCCTGTGAACTGAAGCACTGTAATTTACAAGTGTGAACTAAAAGTATTAGGAAAGTGAAGTAAGAAGCGTATCACTACCTCCACCAGAACATCACTTTATTGTTTATCTGTCATCAACAATGTAAAACTCTACTAGAGACTCTATCCTGGTTTTTAAAAAGGTAAAGATTACATCGGTTTAGCTACGTCGTACGAAAGAAACTACAGCAATCACAGTAGAATGAGATTGGAGGGACAATTTGAACTACAAAAAAGTGTACACTGCAAGCAGAGGGAAGTGCACATGAAATCAAATGCCTGTAGGATTCATTACTTTTAAATGCACAGTGACAATTTTGAGAAACTGTACATAATAGAATCACAGAAATGACTTCAACATAACCAAAATTACATTTCGCATTTGACCATCCAACTCATAAGTAATCATTGATGTTCCATATTTTCAGTGCTTTTGGAATTTTTTCTTTTTTAAACCAAACAAAACTGAAGTTGTTCATTTGACTAAACTGTGAAGTAGAAGGATTGAAATAAAAAGTATATTGGAAGTACGCCTAGCCTACAAGAAGAAGCCAAGAGGTGTATGCGAGGAGAGGCTGAGAGGAAAGAAAGAAAGGAAAGAGGAAAGGGAAAAGAAACAAAGGCTTTTTCTTCTATCTCAGAAGTTCTTCCAATGCAGCGTATTTCTGATGTACAGCTCTTTGCTTTCAGTCCATTTCTGAAGTTTACGTTTCGTAGCCTTTTTCCGCACTAACTGGTCAACTCAACCAGCACTGTTGCCAAGCAACGAGAGTATCAAGAATCTGAATGCATCAAATCTTCCTTGCTGTGATTTCTTCGTGGCCCCATTTTTTCTGTTTTTCTTTGAACAGGGTTCGGTGTTTCCTGAATTGTTCACAGGGTCGGGTGGAATTGAGTTCCAAATCACTCTGCGGTTTGTAGCATCCCGATTTCTTTCTGCAGCAAACCCCCACACACGTTTGCAGTTCTTCCGTAGCAGAAAGACAAACCGTGTTGCTCAAGCGGTGAACTTGCACCCTTGACCTTGGGGGTTGCAGACCATTGTGTTTAGCGTATCCCTGAGTGCAGCTATCCTGCAGGATTCACTTCCCAGTGCACCGAGATTTCCTAGGTTTCCTCAGATTAAGCCCCAGTATGCATCACCACCGACTGTGGTGTGGCTACGGATGCCTGAGGCCGAGTTGATTCTGGTGGATGTCTGACCTCGCTGAACCAGACCGATCTGCTTTCTCCCTACTCATACCCAGGCAGTCCAACCTTCATACAGCTGAGCCAAGTTATCTAGATTAGTTGCTTCCTTAATCACAAAGTCAACCTATTAAAAAGGTCAAACAAGTAATTAAAACATGCTCAATTTCTGAAGTGCTTAAGAAATCTTAGCATTTACTGTCAAATTTCACCTGCAAATACAAAAATCTCATTAAAAAAAAACAAAAATGAAGCTGTGTTCACTGTAAACTTGATCCACGCAGCCTTCTGTAGTTCACATAAGAAACACGAATCTGTACTGGATGTGGAAAAAGCAATCAAGCATCACTTCACTCCTAGCTCCTAACCTGACCATAGTCACAACATTCTCAAATTCACAAGTCCACAGACAGGTCCTACGAGAAAAGTATGGCTGTGTTACACCAGCGAGCAGACAAGCCTTGTTCTTT